CCACAAAAACTCTTTACTTCATGATTTAATTTTAGTTTTACAGTATGTTCACTATGATTGTCATTTAAATTTCTTAGTTTAATTGATCTTTCTCCTCCTTTCTTTGCTCTCCAACCCAATGCCCTTAGGCATGGGCAGACTCGGGACCGAGTGCATGACCGGAATTTGAAGAATATGTACCCTCCTCCTTCCTTCCCTCCTAATAAAGCTGCCACTGTGAAACCTGCTGGGCCTCCTGCCCCAGCTGAGCCCGAAGAGCTGCCCATCCCTGTGGCCCAGGCACTCCCATCTCCAGCCTCCACTGCAACCCCACCACCAACTCCCACTCACCCCCAGCCTTTAGCCCTCCCACCCTTGGCCCCAGAGGGGGCTGAATGTCTGAATGTTGATGACCAGGACGAAGGGAGCCCAGTCATCCAGGAACCTGAGCCAGCGTCAGGTGGCGGAGGCAATGGGGTTGGCAAGAAGGAGCAACTTTCCGTGAAGAAGCTTCGCGTAGTCCTTTTTGCCCTTTGCTGCAATACAGAACAGGCTGCTGAACACTTCCGAAATCCCCAGCGACGCATCCGGCGTTGGCTTCGTCGTTTCCAGGCCTCCCAGGGGGAGAATCTAGAGGGCAAATATCTAAGCTTTGAGGCAGAAGAGAAACTGGCCGAGTGGGTCCTGACCCAGCGAGAGCAGCAGCTGCCTGTGAATGAGGAGACCTTGTTTCAGAAAGCCACCAAAATAGGGCGTTCTTTGGAGGGGGGGTTTAAGATCTCCTATGAGTGGGCTGTGCGTTTCATGCTGCGACACCACCTGACTCCTCATGCCCGGCGAGCTGTGGCCCACACCTTGCCAAAGGACGTGGCAGAGAATGCAGGACTCTTCATTGAGTTTGTACAGCGGCAGATTCATAACCAGGACCTACCCTTGTCTATGATCGTGGCTATCGATGAGATCTCCCTGTTCCTGGATACAGAGGTGCTGAGCAGTGACGACCGAAAGGAGAACGCCCTGCAGACCGTGGGCACAGGGGAACCTTGGTGTGACGTAGTGCTGGCCATTCTGGCAGATGGCACTGTCCTTCCCACCCTGGTTTTCTACAGAGGACAAATGGCTCAGCCTGCTAAGGTGCCGGACTCTATACTGCTAGAGGCAAAGGAGGGTGGCTACAGCGATGACGAGATCATGGAGCTGTGGTCATCCCGAGTGTGGCAGAAGCACACAGCTTGCCAGCGCAGCAAAGGCATGCTGGTGATGGACTGTCATCGCACTCACTTGTCAGAGGAGGTACTGGCGATGCTTAGTGCCTCGAGCACCTTGCCTGCAGTGGTTCCAGCAGGCTGTAGTTCCAAAATCCAGCCATTAGATGTGTGCATCAAACGAACTGTCAAGAACTTCCTGCACAAAAAGTGGAAGGAGCAGGCTCGGGAGATGGCAGACACTGCGTGTGATTCTGATGTCCTGCTTCAGCTGGTGCTGGTCTGGCTGGCTGAGGTGCTAGGCGTTATCGGGGACTGTCCTGAGCTAGTTCAGAGGTCCTTTCTTGTGGCTAGTGTCCTGCCAGGCCCTGATGGCAACATCAGCTCACCTACACGCAATGCTGACATGCAGGAGGAGCTCATTGCTTCCCTGGAGGAGCAGCTGAAGCTGAGCGGGGAACAGTCTGAGGAGCCCTCAGCTTCCACTCCCCGGCCCAGGTCGGCTCCTGAAGAGACAGTTGAGCCCGAAAGCCTTCATCAGCTCTTTGAGGGGGAAAGTGAGACGGAGTCTTTCTATGGCTTTGAAGAAGCTGACCTAGATCTGATGGAGATTTGAGTGTTGGGGTCTTCAGCGCTTGTGGAGTGGGGGTGGGGAAGTGGGGGAGGGGAGAGGGTTAGGGAAAGGGGCATACCAGGGTGAGGTACTTGGTTTATATTTTTAATTTTCTGCCACCACTCCCCCCCAACATTGACTTACACATCCCTGTGAATTTGTGGATTATTAGAAAACTAGTAGTGATCACGTCTGAGCCAAGGAGCTGGCCCATTGGTCATTTACTTCCGCTAAAGTTTTTTGTGACTTTTTTTTATTTAAATTACTGTGTTTGGTATTTTTATGATAAAAATCAAGAAAAAGAAAAAAAATCCTTTATGGGCGAATGTTAAATTGTTTTGGTTCCCCTTTTACCTCAATTGTACCATAGTACTTCTGGGTTTTTTGTTTTACTGTGTGGCCAATGTCTTTGGGCATGATGCTATCTAATAACCATTGTCAATGTGAGGACATTTCTGAAGATGGGAAAGACAAAAGTATGTAGCTCACAAACTGGTTTATATATATATGGATAAAAGAAACTTTTTTCATTGTGGTCTTAACACTTTTATATAAAAATGAAAATGGAAAAAAAATCCCACTGAACTCTCTCTTCCTTCTCCTTTTCCTTCTCTTTCCAGAGATGTTGTTTCTACAGCAACTCTAGATATAAAATTGTGGCTTTAAAAATGCATGAAACCACCTTTAATCATCCAGAATGATGAATAGATTTGTCTTTTTCTCACCACCCTTCCTACAACAGGAACACAACAAAAACAGTATTTTTTGCACTTGAGATCCTTGGCCCTTTCCCCATTCTTAACACCATCACTCTGGACAAAGGATCATACATGTGTCATTAGCAAATGAGGTACTGAGGTGGTCAAACAATGTTAGGGTGGAAGCCATTCCCAGTTATGAGTCTTCATCCTGCAAGCCCTTGGGGCAGTCCTTGCCATGTTGAACTTCATCCTGTTGAGTGGACAGCATGCCTGTTCAAGATCACAGGTCCTGCAGCCAGGAGCTCATTGTGCAGATGTTAAGTGTTGAACTTTAAAAAAGCAACAGCAACAACAACAACAAAAAAAAAACACTTGTTGCAAATCCTGCTTACCCTGTGACTTTCCCACATTTAATACTTAGAGAAGAATTCTGACACGAAGAACAGTGGGGGTGTGCACAAAGAAACAGACATGAATCTTTATTTTTCACTGCCAGCTTCAAGGAAAGAAAATCTTTTTCTACAATTTGCATGAGGGATTTTTTTTAAAACAAACTATGTACTCATGGTTATAAACCAAAATGTACTGTACCATACAGAGAAAAGGAGCAAAAAAACCAAGTCCACCTTTCCCACATCTACACCACTCTTCTGTCCATCTTGAGGCTATCAGCAATGTTTCCCTCCTGTGAGCCGAGGAGGCAACCTGCACAAGCTTGTAAATGGTTCATCTTTAAAATGTACATAAGTGGAACCTTTAATAAAATGAGGGGAAATGGATTTATAAACTGTCTTTTTTTCTAGGTGACCCTGTTTAAAAGGCTTTCACAGACTGGGGTATGCTCAAGATGTGAGGGGCCTGGTGGTGACAGGTGTGACATTTGTTACCACCCATTTCTCTCCCTGCCCTGTTTTTGTTTTTTAACCCCCAGCACACTATAATATAGTGAACTGGAGCAGTCCCTTCCAGAACAGCTTGGCCAGCTTTGTGACCTGTGGCATCTGAAGCTGAACTAAGGATCCACCTGAGCTTCTCTTCCCCAGCTTTTTGCCTGATGCCACTTTGACAGACTGTGGACTTTGACAGCCCTCTGCCTTTGAGAAAGCTCAAGACTATGGTCACTTCTGTCTACAACCTAATCCTACTCTTTGGTAGTCTCCGCAGCAGCCACAGCCTTAGCAGAGCTGGGTTTCTGGCCTCTGCACACTGACTTTCTGGATGGGTTAATTTTTCTAAGATCATACTACAGTGATCAGCTGGGTTTTGGCCAGGAAGTTGTCTTTGTGGACTCTGCCTGCATGGCTTAGTAGTAGAAGGTTTTTTGTTTTGTTTTTTATAATTCAGTTTAATCAATAAACAAGTATTTATTGACTACTTTGTGTTGAGACTGAATGTGTAGAAGTTTTATAGTTGAGCTCATGGTTTTCTTTTGCTTAAATTTACTGTTGCCTATACGCTTTCTCAAAAAGATTTGGAGAGGATATACATCAGGACCATCAAAGGAGTTCATTTTTAAAGTTCAAACTTTAAAACCATTCCAGGGATGCAACATTACTAATATCCAACAGTCTGACTCAAAGGCTATACTTGGGACTTTTAATGAAATACTAGTAAGTAATTTCCTGACATTGCTAAAATTTAGTAGATGAACACTTTGGTTAAATATTGTTGCACTGCTCAACAGTCCCTACATAAAAAGTGAGGTTAGAGGGGTGTGTGGGTTGGAGGTTACCACATCCAGCCAAGGGTAACTTGTTTTTGTTGTGCTGTTTATAGATAGGACAGTAGAGTGCCTTTTGACATATCTTATGTACATGGAGAATAACAATATCCCATTCGTGTGATTGTAGATGATGTGGAGTTTCACTGGTTGCATACTCATATATGAACAAAAGTAATCTTAGACATGCAGTATTTCAGTTGCTCTGTATATCTTTGAAAGTGTTTTAATGATGGTTTGAAGCCATCAATAATGAGAAAAAACTCTTCTAGAATCTAGTGCAGTAGGGAAATTTTTTCAACAGCATCCAGTTGTCACAAAAGATCAAGTGTGGCTTCTACAGGAAACTGTCCCAGATTGACTATCACAGGTCTTCTGTACCTTCATACATAGAATGAAGAGCCTAAGGTTCTCTGATCAGGGAGAGAGATGATGCACAGCAGTATTTGTAGTTTAGCCCTTGGTGTGACCCAGTCAGAACAAAACCACTTGGCAAGTACTTTGATTCAGACTGATTTATTTTACAAAAGAAAGGCTACCTTTGAACCAACCAAGTTCAAAGTTAAAGGTTACAACGTCAGGATAATGCAGCTGTATCATTCAAAGCCACTAAAAAAGAAAAGAGCATTAAAAAATTAGAATAAAAAGTATAAAGGCATCAATTTCTAAAAGCAGCTCTACCCTCCAACCAAAACCCTCTTCAGGTTTTCAGGTGGAACCCTCCAGAAAAGCCCAGCTTAGTGCAAGCCAACTATTCTACCACCTACTGTTTTCCCTACTCTAAATTTCAATCACCTGATCATGTGGGCAATATCCCAGTTGGTCTCTGCAGACAGTGGTCCCTCTATTTCAACACCTTTTGCAGTTACAGTGGCGATTTGAAACTGAAAGAAAACAGCTTTCAATGAAAATGGACAAGCTCAAATGAAGGAGTGTGTGCAAACCTCCCCCCAAAAATATGGAGTTATAGAAATGAGCTAATCTGTTCAGGGTTTACAAGTATCTACAACCTGCCAATTAGTTACCAAATTTTTTTTGTTAATATTTCTCTAATTTGCAGTTGAACACATTACCTTTATTTTATTTCTTCATTTTTATGTAGTGCTGAGGATCAAACCCAGCGCCACGAACAGGCGAGCTAGGTGAGTGCTCTACTGCTGAGCCACAACCCCAGCCCCTAGGTTACCAAATTTTTATTATTCATTCATTCCTCACCCTGTTATAAGAGCGGGCATCTCGATAATACAGCACTCGCATGCAGCGTTCTACTAGTTCTCGGGCCTCAGCCTGGCTCAGCACTGGCTGTTTCTCCAGAACTTCTCGAAGAAGAGGCTAGAGATTGAGGAAGAAAAATGTGGGAGACATAAGGGGATGAGTAATAGGCTCTCTGTCTCTAACGCATACTATAAATAGCCATAAATGAGTGAAGAGGTCTACCTATTTTGTCAATGAAATGCTTACTAAGACTTTTTTTTTAAGAGAGAATTTTTTTAATATTTATTTTTTAGTTTTCAGTGGACACAACATCTTTTTATTTTATTTTTATATGGTGCTGAGGATCAAACCCAGCGCCGCATGCATGCCAGGTGAGCACGCTACTGCTTGAGCCACATCCCCAGTCCAAGACTTTTATATATATATATATATTTATTTTTTTTTTTAGTTCAGTTTTTTTTTTTTAATAATACCTTTATTATTTTTATGTGGTGCTGAGGATCCAACCCAGCGCCTCACTTGTGCCAAGTGAGCACTCTACCACTGAGCCACAACCCCAGCCCCATAAGCCCCTCTTAAAGGGTTAGAGCACCCACTCTGTGCACATACTGAATCTAAGTGCCAACATTTATAGATCAGATACAAAGAAAACCAGCTGCCCAGCCTAGGGATCCCAGCGTGTCCCTCATCAGAATTCCAAGAGCAGGGAAGCAGACAACCACTAAATCCCGGATTTACTACTCTCCTCTCTCCCACCTCTAGACCCACTACTTACCTGTGCCAAGTATGCACCATAACCAGTGGCCAGGGAAGGGGCTTCATAAGCTACACCAAGCATGTCCACATAACCAAGGAAGCTAAGGACACAAGGGGGCACAGAACTCATTTAAGCTTAAGTTTCTTAGCTGAAGAATAGGTTCATGGGTTCTGAGTTACAAGAGAAGGATGGCTTGGGGGGGTGGAGAGAGAACAGACACTACACAGGAGCTAGGTTGGGTGGTCAAGTAAGTTATTTGTATTCAAATAAACCTCTCTCCATCAGCATAGCCTCCGATGACCATGGTGTTCCACAGAGGGTTCATCTTGGAGCGGCGGCTGTACATGGCCCTGGTCAGCCACGAGTGAATAGCTCTAGGGCTATAGCTGTGGCCATCTCCCAACAGTTCCTCATCAATCCTTAAAAGGAATTGGTTGTGATAAAGATTGAGAATGGAAGTTGGGATCTCCATCCACCCCAAAAAGAAGTCATCAAGACCTAATCGCTTCCGCCCGCCCCGGCCACACTTCCGACCCACAACTCCCCCAGGTTTCGGGGCAGCCTCGAGCCTTCGCCCCGCTCAGGGAATAAAGCAGGACCTCCACCCCGACCTGGAAACTCCTCCTGGGCGCCGGGACTTACACCATCTGGCCGAGAACCTGCTTCAAATACTGGAAGTCGGCGTAGTCCCCGGAGGCTCCCAGCATAGTGCTGTTGTTGACGCGCATGATGCGGGAGATGTTGCGGAAACGGGCCAGCGAGCCGTAAGAGCCCAGCATGTCCGCGGCAATCACCACGCCGCCTTCGAACTTCACGCCGAGGACCGAGGTCCCGGTCACCATGGGGTTCCTGCGGGGTGGGGAAGTCTGGCGACGGGCGGCGCGGGGACGGCCCCGCGTCCCCTCTCCGAGCACCGGGCTCCGCTTCTGACATGCAGGTCACCTGCATTCTCCGCGCCTCCCCTGCGATTCGCACGCCCAGGGTAGTCCCTCGGGAGTCCCCACGTCGCCCTGCCTCGCTAAGAACCAGCCGGGAGCACCAGGCCCCCGGTCCCACCCCTACGCAGCCTAAGGGGAAGGACTTACTGGGTTCTCGTGATTGGACCCCCGCAGAGCGCGGACGCTGGGCCCATGAAGGGATCCGGAGTGGATGGGATGCGATAAAACTGCCCAGGTGCCGGACCCCCGGCCCAATGGCCAGACCGCGACTCCCAGAACGGTTCCATCTTAGTCACCGTAGCAGAAGAAATGAAAGCGCCGGCGCCCGCGGAAGCGGAAGTGGTCCTTCAGTGCAACACTTTTCTTCTTCCCGCAAGCCACTTCCAACAGCCATGTTGGTGAGGTCATATCCGAAGTTAGCGTGGGCCTCAGTAGCCCCTGAGACCGACGGTTGGAGTTGCCCAGCGTCGAGTCGCGTCGCGTCGCGTCTGGACGGTATTCTGATAGTCGTTTCAAGGAGGGGGGATGTGAAGGGTGGGTATGGGGTGGGGCGGCGGACACCTGGAAACACCGACCCGAGCGAGGAGTCGGCCCTTCTGGTGTTTTTCTTTGGGGTTGCTACAAATAAAAATAAAAAGCGAATGACAACATCGCCGGGCGTGGTGGCCCTCGCCTGTAATCCCAGCGGCTCGGGAGGCTGAAGCAGGAAGATGGCAAATTCGAGGCCGTTTGCAGCAGTTTGGCGAGGCCCGGTGTGTCGCGGGCAGCTCAGCCGTGGAGCTGCCCGGGGCTGCGCGGCCGGCGTCCGCCCACAGCTAAGGACTATTTCGGGAAAAAGGAATAAAACGGTATCGTTCTGTTGCATATTGTTTGCATGTACGAGTATGTAACAAGTCCCATCAGTATGTACAAGTATAACGGACCAATAAAAAGAAAAGTGGTAAAAAACAATATAAGAACTAAAAGTTAATAAATGAAAATAAAAAGGACTGAAAATGTGGCTCAGTGGTTAAGCTTCCCTGGGTTCAATCCCCAGTAAGCCCCCGTCCTAAAAAAAAGAAAGTATCAGTGAATCCAAGATCTGTACCTCGAAATCAGCCCCATGTGGCAGGCATTATTCAACCCATTTCATAGATAAGAAACCAGATTTGACGTAGCCTGGTTAATCCCTATCACACCACCAGGAATGGTGGAAATGAATCTTCAAACCCAGAATAAAAAAGTAATCCTACCTCAGATGGCTCACTTACTCTCTGGGACCTCAGACGAAACGCTGAGAATTTCCTTATTGTCAGATGCCTGTAGTCACCTCTTAAGCAGCAGAAACATTCCACTGAGACTGTTGGATTGAAACTAAATTCTGATCGGAGGGTGGTGGTGCAGGCCTGTAATCCCAGGGCTGGGGAAGCTGAGGCAGGAGGATTGCAGCTCAAAGCCAGCCTCAGCAACAAGGAGGCACTAAGCAACTCAGTGAGACCAAAAATAAAAATAAAATAGGGCTGGGGATGTGGCTTGGCGGTATAGAGCCTCTGAGTTCAATCCCCAGTAACCTCCATCCCCACCAAAAAGAAAAAGAAAGAGGGGCTGGGGATGTGGCTCAAGCGGTAGCGCGCTCGCCAGGCATGTGTGCGGCCCGCATCACATACAAACAAAGATGTTGTGTCCGCCGAAAACTAGAAAATAAATATTAAAATTCTCTCTCTCTCTCTCTCTCTCTCTCTAAAAAAAGAAAGAAAGAAACTAAATTCCAGGGGTTCCCCTCTCAATGTGACCCTAGGGGGGCTGGAAGCAGTGTCTTCTTGTCCAAGGTAAACAGTCTGACACTAGTTTTAGTGGTAAGAACAGATTTTAATTCCTTGTTCTTTAAAAATAGGTATTCTGAATACTTTTCTCCTGAAATCTATATTCCACCCAGAGGCTCACTCATAAATAGTAGATGTTCAGTTGTGGTGAGAATTGACTTGAGGGAATCCAGGAAAGCTGGCTCCTGGCTACCAGAGATCTGATCATATAAACTTCACATCAGCCTGCCAGCCATGACCTGGCTCCGTGCTTGTTCAAGGTGGCTGGCTGGTTTTAACACTCTGGTAGAGCTAGTACCGATTCCAGAGATCAGGAAGGAAGCTAAATGCTTAAATTTAGAGTCTAAAAGAAAAGTGAAGGATCAGAACTGTCCAGCCTGAGAGTGGGATGACAGAAACCCAAATCACGGAGGGCTGGAGCTGCAGCTCAGTGGTAGAGCGCTTGCTTGGCCTGTGCTAGGCCCTGGGTCCCATCCCCAGTGCTGAAAAGAAACAAGAAGGAGTAGGAGCAGGAGCAGCTTGGCAGAAGTCAAATCACGGACAATGCAATATTCCAAAGCTCCGGAAACTCCGCTAAGGTGTCCAGTTGGCTCTTACTTTTTCTTTTTTTCCTTAAAGCCTTTTTTTTTTTTTTTTTTTAGTTGTAGATGGGCACGATACCTTTATTTTATTTATTTATGTGGCGCTGAGGATGGATCCCAGGGCCCCACATAAGCAAGACCACTGAACCTCAACCCCAGCCTGGATGGCTCTTACTTTCAGTTTAATTCGCATCTGACTGGTTTTGTGACGGGGCAGGAAGTCCTTGATTATAGGAATTCCCAGAAAGCAAATAAAACTAGACTAAGTTGGAATTAATAACCATTCTCACCACCACTCCGCAAACATTTTTACTGTTCCACTTCTTAAAAGAATGGAATTTGAAGCTTCAACCCCCAAACAGGGATCACTGCCTGACCTAACCTGGCTGTAGAGGTTATAACACAAAAGATGAAAAAGAAAACACGTCCACTTGGTCCAGGCTGCGTTAGCATGTTGACCTCCTTCCAAAGAGTTTCTCATTTTTATGTCCTTTAGAGTTCAAGTCTGTAGCACCCACCCAGCGCTCATCACACTTGTTAGAAGACTGCCTGCTTCCTAAGGGAGAGTCCCACCAATGTAGAAACTGAGTCTTACAGTGGTGCCTTCTAATGCACAAAGGCTCTGTTGTTTGGTTGTTGTTTTGCAGTCCTGGGGATTGATCCAGGGGTTCCTACTTGCTATGCAAGTGCTTTACTACTGAGTGACGTCACCTGATCTTTCTTTTTTTTTTTTAATCTGAGACAGGTATAGACTGGCATAGAAGACTGTCTTTTCCCCAGTGAATGGTTGCTTTCTGTTTTCCGTCCTTTTTAATCCTTGTCAAGTCATTTGATCGTAGGTGAGCATTTACTTCTGGCCTCTGTCTTCTAAATCCATTGGTCTAAGTTTCTGTCTTTATGTCAGTATCAGAGTGTCATTTACTGTATGTTTTGAAATTTGGATTATGAAACCTCTAATTTTATTCTTCTTCAAGGCTGTTTTCATAAAAGTGTTGTGGGGTTTTTTTTGTTTGTTTTTTTGCTTTTTAGTTTTATTTTTATAGACTATTTCCTTTGGGATAGAGATGGACAGTTGTTTTCTTTTGGAACTTTGAAGATGTTATTTCACTATCCTCTGGCTTCCATTGTTTTTGTGGAGGAGTTACCTCTTAGTCATAGTTTTATTTCTGTGAAGGTAGGTCATCTTTTCTCTGTCTCTCTCCCTCTCTCTCCCTCTCTCTTCCTTTCTCTCTTCCTCTCTCTCTCTCCCCCCTCCCTGTCTGAATTCTCTTCTTGGGCTTATGGTTTGGAACTGGAATGTCCCCAAAGGCCCATGCAATGAATGTTTGGTCCCCATCCCATGACATCCTTGGGAGGTGGAACTTTAGTAGGTGGGGCCTAGTGGAGGCAGCTAGGTCATTAGGGGCGTGCCCTTGAAGAGGACAGTGGGACTGTACTCCTTCCCCTCTTTCTGTCTTCCCCTCCTGCCACCTTCCTCACCTTCTGGCCACCATAGGGTAAACAGCTTCCTTTGCTCTGTGGTCATACTATGAGGTTCTGCCTCACCACGCGCCCAAAGGCAATGGGATCAAGTGATTATAGATAGAAACCTCTGAAACCATGAGCCAAATAAACCTCCCTATTAGTAGTTTACCCCGGGTGTTTTGTCACAGTGGCAGCTGACTGACAGAGTGTGCTACTAGGGTATGCCTGGGCAGGATTTTATCTGTATCTAACCTACCTGCATTTGCTAAGCTTCTTCAGTCTGTGGGTTGAATCTTTTATCAGTTTTGGAAAATTCTTGGCCATTATCTCTCTCTCTCTCTCTCTCTCTTTTAAGAGAGAGAAAAATTTTAAAATATATATATATATATATATATATATATATATATATATATAGTTTTTGGTGGACACAACATCTTTATTTTATGTGGTGCTGAGGATGGAACCCAGCGCCCCACGCATGCCAGGCGAGCACGCTACCACTTGAGCCACATCCCCAGCCCCATTATCTCTTTGAATATTGCTTTTTGCCCAAACTTCTTTCTCTTCTCCTCTGAGACTTCAGTCCTGTGCTAGATATTTGAGCATCTCATGTTTCCTGCCTTTTGTTTGTTGTTGTTGTTGTTTTCATCCTCTCTCGATGGCTTCACTTGGAGCATTTTCTACAGACCTCTCTTTGAATTCACTCCCCAGGCTCTGCTATACTCAATCTGCTGTTAAACTCATAACTTAGTTAATTGATTCCAGATTTTGTATTTTTTCCAATTTTAGAATGCCCATTTGACATTTTTATAGACTACAGTCCTCTGTCTAAATTCTCCATATTTTCATCATTTTCTCTATTTTTTATAATTTATTTTTCAGTTTTAGATGGACACAATATCTTTATTTTACATTTATTGGTGCTGAGGATCCAACCCAGTGCCTCATGCATACTAGGCAAGTGCTGTACCACTGAGCCACAACCCCAGCCCTTCATTTTCTCTATTTTATTTAACATGTCAATCATAGTTATTTTTACATTCTCAAATGCTAACTCTAATATAGATGGTCCCCCACTTATGATGATTCAACTTATGATTTATCACCTCTACAGTGGTGCAAAAATGTTCCACATTCAGTAGGGAAACCATACTTTAAAATTTGAACTTTGATCTTCCACGCTGGTGATCTGTGCTGTGATACCCTCGTGCAGTGCCAGGCAGCAGCAGTGAGCCACTGCTCCTGGTCAGTCGTTCAGTCACAGGGGCAAACAGCTGGTTCCCCATAGAGTTTGTGTTGCAAAGCTATGAAGTTCCGTAGGCTAAGGGCATTAAAGGCATTTTCCACTATGGTATTTCCAACCTATGACAAGTCTATCAGGATGTGACCCCACCATAAGTCAAGGGGCGTCTGTATCTGGGTCATGTGTGGGTCTACTTCTCTATCGTTTATTTTTTCTTTTCATTTTAGTCCTGTTTTCTCT